GTCCCACAGGCCGCCATCTGACTTTTGCACCATATGAGGAGCAGCATCCAGTGGCCTCATTTTTACACATGCAGCTGAGGATAATCTCAAATTCCACAGCCCTCCACTGTTCCCTCCTGAGTGTTAGGATGACAGTCATGAGTCGTCATGCTTGGATGGAACCCAGGGCTCTGAGCATCCTAGCCAAGCAGCCTACAAACTGAGCCACAGCCACAGCTCCTGGTTTCTTTCATGTGTTAATCTTAATGCCTCTCTCTGCACATCCCTTTGTTCCTCACACAGTGTTAATGTACCACACTTGGCCAAGGACTTCATGACAAATTAATTTACATTCTGGGGTCTTTTTATTTAATACACAAATGATCAAATATAGAAGTAGTCCTCCCTTAGGCTACTAGTCTGTTAGTTTTCAGGGACAAAAATAGGCACCTTGGCTCATGCCTGTAACATCATCACTTAGAACACTGGGGCATTTTAACATATATTTATTTTTATTTAAATTGTATTTATTCCCTGTGGTCATATGTGTGTTCACACATGTATCAGGGTGGGAAGAGACATCATTCCATTCCTGGACTATGTTCCATGATCTCCCCCTTTTCATTTTTTAAACACAGGATATCCACAGTGCCTTTCATTCAGGATGTAGGTTAATTTTGGCTGCAGGCAAATTTTAAAAATTGAGAGTAAATAAATGCAAGAATACCTTTTGGTGCTCCCCTTTTCATTTTTATTTCTTTTTCTTTTTCCAATTTTTTGAGACAGGGTTTCTCTGTGTAACTCTGGTTGTTCTGAAACTTACTCTGTAGACCATGCTGGCCTTGAACTCACAGAGATCCACCTGCCTCTGCCTCCCGAGTGCTGGGATAAAGGGTGTGCACCACCACTGCCCAGTCCCCCCCCCCTTTTATTTTTAAATAATCATTGTTTTAATGTTCTATATGCTCTTTCAATTATATCCTGGCCTTGAAGATTATAAGGAATGCCTGTAATATGATTAGCATTCCATTCTTTACAGAAGTTCTTAAATTTGTGTACTACACAAGAGTCCACTGCTAGATTTTATACAGGTAGGTACTCTCACAACAGCAAAAGTTTGTATAAGAGAAGAGCAAAATGCAGAAGCTCTTCTCTGAGGATTGAGGAACTGCCCAAAGAATCTTAGAAATAGTTACAACTGTATGCAGGTATGAGGCACAAGAGGAAAGTGGATGACGTCCATATGCCTTAATTCATTAGTATTTTTAACTCTGGGAATAACTGAATTTAGCTATATGGCCATGACAGTGTAAGAGAGCACAAATAGGACATTCCTGCACAATTTGCCTCATTTGTTTAAACAGGTTGTGGCACCATACATGAGGTCAATTAGTATTAGTGTGTAGGTGCTGATGCCCCTGTTCTGGAGAAGTAAAAATCAGGCAGGTTAATGCATAAGCTTGCTTACTTCTCTCTGCAACAAAAACAGGGAGGTTAAAGTGTGCATGAGCATGGTTAATAAACAAGGTATGTGTAGAGATTTAAAGCTGATGTCGTTCCTGTAGTGATGGGAGCATAACAGGATGTGAAGACAAAACTAAAGCAGTTTCTATTGCTGGAAACAATCCAACCACATAAGCAAATCTGAGACGGTAATTAAGGGTTAATGAATTAACCATAACTGATGAATCAAAACATCAGTTTTACCTGTTGAGATCAGGAAAAAGAAGTATTAATAAACTGATGGGTATCAGGACCATGAATCCCTCCTGTGTCATTAGATTAAGCCATCAAAATAAGTTTCTGCCTGTGGAATGGGAGAAAGTGGACAATTTTTGTAGTCACAAATTCAGTTCTTAGAAGAAAATCTAATTGCTGGCCAGATGGATAATGATTTAATACCCTTCTATGGTAATCAACAAATAAAATCTGAAAATCCATAGAATTGTATAACACTCTTTTTAAATTTTTTTTATTATTAAGAAATTTTCAGCCGGGCGGTGGTGGCGCACGCCTTTAATCCCAGCACTCGGGAGGCAGAGCCAGGCGGATCTCTGTGAGTTCGAGGCCAGCCTGGGCTACCA